GAAATCAGTCCAGGACTGGTAGATGAAGGTCCCCAAGGCCTCGTACGGCACAGTGAGTGTTTGGTACCTGACAATTCAACAGAAGCAGTAACACAGAGCATCCTTTCCAGAACTAAAACTTATTTTAAAAGACCCCATTACTGTACCCAGAGTGCTCTCTTTATACCCAAGAGCCTACTAAGGCTTTGGTCCAGATGCTCTCCCATACCAAAGAGCTCCACGAAAAAGGTGACGGATGCATTTTCTTTCAGCAATTTAACATTAACTGCCTTTCAGTTTAGCTAAGAATGAGAATGGAGGAAGAGAAGTGCTGGATTCACCTTCTCTAGTTCATTCAAGATTTTGTATCCTTTGCTGTTCTCTTTAAAAATAAATACTCCAGTATTTTCATCTTATTTCATTCTCTACAGGTAGGAGTTTGATTAGGAAACGCACCAGCACTCTCTTGGCCCTAATTAAAGGGCATGTGATACAACAAATAGATGGCAATGCCACAACATGAATTCGATCCAGCCTGCATCGTTTGTTCATAACTTTTATTCACAGAAATGAGACTACTACTTGCCTTCCACACCTCTGTCAGGCTCCCTGTGGAAATTACTCTCATCCACTCTCTTGCAGAGTTCAAAACATACAACTTTACTAATGAAAAATTGCTAGCAGAAGCAACAAGCACATCTCAGCTAACTAATCCATGGGATGTTCAGATCTGGAAATGTAAACTTTCCTACCTAATAAGGGTGTGCTGATCTCCATTAGATTGATGCCAGGATGCCTTGGAGTGCAATCAATACAAAACAAATAAATTATTAATTGCTCCAAGTAATTAAATTTATCAAATCCAAATAAAAATAACTGATATTTTATGGAACTGCTTCCAAAGCTGAACCTCTGAAGGGACAGTATTGATCACAGGAGGACAGACAGATGTTTCACATGTTCACAGCCGATGAGGTCTGGGTTTGCATTAATGACAGGGAAGGAACAGAGCCAACAGCCTCCGATGCAGAGTAAACAGGCAGCGTGCTTGGCCATTTAATTGTGGGTCAGATCAAATATGGAGAATAAACATGCCTAAACACATACATACAAGCCCATCTTCCTCCAGAAATATCATTCACCTTGGAGCTGTAGTAAGCACTCAGTTCCCACTCCAAGAAAAAACAAATGGAAGAGAATTCTCACACATGCATTCCCCCCACAACCACAGTAAATTCTTACTCATTAATCAGCGCTACAAAAAAAATGCTCAGCAGGCTAGTAAATATTTAAAAGCTGGTCAGTGTGAATATTTGAATCAATGGGTACTAAAGCTATACTTGTAATTTTCCTTCCTCTACTTTTTTAATTGGTCTGACTGGCAAATTGTCTACAAGATCCCAGTTAGCAGATGGAGTCAGGCTGCTGGCTGGAAGCCTTTTCTGAGGGGAGGTGGCCAGCTTTAAATGACTAAGCTGGAGCATCCCTCAGTCCTTTCTGCGGATTGACATCTCTACAAACTCTGTTTCATCCCAGAGTTTTTTTTTTGTTTCCAGATGAGACACCACCCAATCGATTCTCTTCCAGTTCCTTTGTTTCCAACCCGTGACCACAGAGCAAGGACACAGACTTACACCTCAACACACAGGAGTGGGGACAAATATCCACCCTTGTCCGTCCATCACTTTCCTTCTTAAAAGCACTGCTGCAGCAATTCAACAGCGTTAACGAAATCGTAACTTAAAATTCAAGAATAAGGCTGAGAGAGGAGACGAGCAACTGAAAACTCACTGAAGAGATGCTAAGTATGCCAAAGTCAAGTGCTCTGAACACAGTAAAGTCAAAGACAAAGGTTAAACTTAAAAGAAAGCTAAAACATGATATGGTACAGAAACACTGCCATGAATTCAAAACAAACTCAGCTCTGCCCTACAGAAGCAACACGATGCCTAGATCACAAACATGCGGTTTGTCTGCGTCCTGGAAAAGATTCAAGTTCAACAGCTCCCATTTTCCTTTCCTTCAGGCAAATTCTCAGCAAAGCTTTCCTTCCTCATAGCTCCCTGCTTTCCCTTTAGTCTCTTCCTCTCCTTTCGCTGTACAAATTCTCTACCCATCTCTCATTTCCTCTGGCTCTTTGGCTGTCTGCCCTCCCAGCTGAGCCGACCTGGTATAACAGGAAGTTTTCCAGAAGTAATGCTTAGGATTTCTGGTGTTATTTTCATAACACTGTTTTACTAACAGCAAAGGCAAAGGTCTAAAATTCCTTTTCAAGAAACTCATGAAAGGCTTACCCCCTTCCAAAACATCTGCTACTGCCTCCTGTTCTCAGTGGCACCAAGGCAATACACTGCCTTGAATTAAGACGAAGCTTTTCATAATGCACAGATTCCTACTGCCTTAGAGAAACTTGCAGTCTGTGCTGTCAGGAGGCAGAGGGGAAATCCCATGCAGAGCAAGGGCACGGGGGCTATGGCCTTCTTTGCCTGTGGCCACAGCCCCATGGAGAACAATGGGAGACTGAAGCCATTGTGATAGAAGGCAGCTTGTCAAACTCACTGGAGAAGATTGCTCTTCAGCGTCTGCTGAAGGAGAAACTTTTGGTTATGAAGAATAATGGCCATAAGTGACCATTAATCGTAGGGGGAAAAAAAAGTCTTCAAATTCAGCCTGTGCATAAGATTTTTGTAAGCTTTAACGACAGGGGGAATTTGAAAAGCCAGGGCTATTGTCATAAGAACTACTAGGAACAAATTAAGTTGAATACAGATTGCTAACCTCTTCTTCAAGGACTCATTTCTATAAATTAATTTTTACTCACGTTTTCAGACTAATTGTAAATCCTCAGGGGAAAAAAAAAAGTATCTCTAATCAAAGAGTAAGTGCTATTATCCTGAGGATGACATGGCACATTTTTCACACGTGACAGAGGTTGAGTCCCTAATCTCAGTGCAAAATCCAACTTCACCTAACTATGAAGGCATAAAGCTTGGTAGCAAAGTACAAAATAAAGGAGGACAATAGAAGCCTTTAGGTGAGGAACACTCTAGGCCCTCAGGCAAAAGAACTTATTGCAGGATGTCACAAGCCTTTAGAAATCATTTCCCAATGTGCTCAGGGCAAAACATCTTATGCTAGATGTTGCCCAAGTACAAGTTTCCAACACAGCACCCCAACTCCTCCCTTAGTCCTAGTTGGCTCCCATCCTTATCAATTCCACACTACTGGTGTGTAGAGGGTTTGCCACATAAATCCCACAAGTAAAATAATTTGGATTGGCACGGATTGTCAACTCTATACCACTTAGCACTTCAGCATCTCTTACCAGTTCAAAAAGCCCATACTGACCTCATGTAATTAATTCTCCCCTTCGCCTATATGTGAAGGAAGTGAGTCTATTAGCTCCCGTTTTAAAAACAGGGAAGACTTGAATAAGGAAGTCAGGTGACTGACTAAAAGCCACAAATGAATTAATTTTGCCAGGTTGGAGGCAGGTTTCACATTTCCAAGCAGCACAGTGTTTTTTCACCTAGATCAGCGATTTGCAATCTTTTTCAGTTTGCAAACCACTGGTACTTCCAATAACAGCATTTATTTCCTTAAAAATTTCAAGCAGAGCATAGGAAGTTGCTGTAGGTCATCCCAGGCATGTGGATACCACAGGCTGAAAGTTGCTGAATCAGACTGCTATGCCTCAGCTTATCACTTGCATTTTGTGAGCATGAAAGAGAACAGGGAGAAGCATGCAGCACCCATTTTCACAAAGGCTTGGATTTGAATTGCCTGTTTGGCACACAAAAAGGCTGCTGGCTTTGCCAGATGGTTCCATCACTGACAGGTTATTGCTCAACTTCTCTTCCAGGGGGGTTAAAAAAAATAAAAAAGCTCAACCATTACTTATTAGTTTTCAAAATCCAAATCAATCTCCATAAATTACTCTATTTATCTTAGTGCCTGAGAACACATCTGCCACATCTCCATACATCTCAACACATGCATTGCAGTCTTGCCTGTCACTTGCTGGGATTTTTGACTTCCTCAAGGCTGTAGCCCCTCACTCATACAGGTAGCCGGCAGATGGTGGCACTTGTACACTAAAGGGGTCCCCCAGCAGTGACCTTGCTGAGGCATACCACCTTTAATGTGCACATGCACCCATACATTGAAGCAGCATGATCCCAAACACATTTTTATTAAGAGCCCCAGGGTGTTCCCAGCAAGATCTCAAACTACTCTGACATCAAAAGAGCATCCCATAAAAGAGTCTTTAAAAGTGACCTAGAAAATTACTATGCCAAGTGAGGGTGCCGGGGCAAGGAACCTACTTCTCTGCCTTTGCTATACAATAAAGCAACTAAGGATTATTTTATTTGGCTAGGGAAAAAAAAGCACTTATACTGGGCAAATAGGATTTTGCTATCCAAAACCATTCAGTCGGCCAGGCAGGTTTAACTTATCCAGTATCCCAAAACCTGTCGCTGAGAGACGAGCGTCAAGTCTTGCTGATAAAACAGCAAGAAAGTTCTTTTCTCAGGGATATCTGCGCAACACAATGAACAAAGGGGCTTCTCCCCGAAATATTTTCCAAAGATAACGGAAATAGAAGACTAAAAATTGTATGCATTTATGTGTGTCTTTTTTCCAAGTCACAACCTGAACATCCATTTCTTAAAAGCGCCTCTCATCTGTCCACACACGTGCTCTACGAGACCCATTACATTTGGCTGCGTGCTCTGTTTGGACTAAACAGCTCCATCTGGGTCCATCACGTGTGTCTAACAGCAGAATGGGCACACCAGTAACAAACACCAGGAAGGTCAGGTGCCCCTGCAAGGCGATGAGCTGGTTTTCACAGAGCCAGCATTCCAGGTTTCTGAGTCTCCACATTTACAGAATTCCTTTCTTATTTTAGAGGCAAGAACTTGACTTACTTTAGCTATAAAAGGAGAACAGATGAGGAGACAGACAGGCAGACTGAAAGACATTAACAGAGGTCCCAAGGGACCAGGACAACAGCCTACCCTCTGGCTTCGCAGCGTGACACCTGCAGATTTGAAGTCAGGAAACTTGATGCCAGCAGTCTCAGGAACAGCCTGAAAGAGATCGAAACAGGATGTGTTGATGGAGGAAACACAAGAAACACAAGATTTCACACAGAGACTATCTGAAGGGGAAACACTGTTTCCTATGACAGAGAACCACCTGCCACAGACACATGTCAGAGCTGAGGTAAGAGGAAAATCCCAAGCAATGGGATTCAGTGGGAAAATCCCAAGAAATTCACTGAGAAAAATACGGCAGTTCAAGGTATCTTTGGAGAGCTCAAGCATTTTTGCTTGGTTGGTTTAAATGCACTGCTCTAGACAGATCCTTACATCTATCCACACAAGCACAAACCCTAACCCTAAATAGTACTCCTTATACAACATACATATTTGCACAATATCATCCTTATCTAAGCCAGGCCCATTTCACTTATCCAAACATCCCAAGACTTCCCTAAATCTTGGCTTTTGACTGCAAGTCCTCTAAGGAATGAGCTGAGAAACCTCTAATTGATACAGACATGAGCCCACTAATGAGGATATAAGGACTGCACCCCTCCAAGGAGGCCTGCTGTTTATATACATTTTGCCATTTGTCCACTTCTTAGACAGTATTCTTTCTTCCCCACTTCACATTTTAAGCATAGTAATACAAGAAGGCAAACTTCTACTGCTGCTGCTAGACAGTAGAGCATTTATTTGCATTTCCACAAAATGGAAAAAAAAATTAAATCCCTGAAAAATCTGTGCTGCTGAGCAAAGCACAAGGTGAGCATACTTTTAAATGATTAAACCAGCCTATCTGCAAAGCCTTGTGCACTGAATGGTGTGGGGTCTTCTGAATGGGTCAGCGATAGTCATGTTTTTATGCATGAACAGCCACAATCTCTCCAAAACGCATGCTCAGTCATGGTTTTCCAAAAGGAAGAGTCACCTCAAATCTCCCAATTTCTTTGGAGACAGCATTCGCCTTGCTGCTCCCACATTTTTCTGCAGAGAGGCTCTACAGCTTGCTCTTTGTTAGTTCCAGGCAGGGATGAGACAACCAGGGCTGCCCCAAGATCATAAGAGATGCTGAAGGACAGTGACTCAATTCTTCAAGTTCCCTGCACAATGACTCTCACATCTCTATCAGCTATCTCTGTCTTGGTCTTGAGGTGGCACCTTGCAAACTGCTCTGCATGGCCAGGCATTAAGATTTTTTCTTCAGTTATCTGTGGTCAGTCCAAAAAACAGAGGACCCAGGAAAAGATTTCTAAACATGATCATGGTTTAAAAAGTATTCTCTAACTACCAACAGGGCCGATGAACTTGTAGGCATCACATTGATCCTTGGTAGGATGAAGCCTCCCTGCTTGGATTATTAGACAAAGAAAGCTACAATCAAAAACGAATCCTCTCCGCTTCCTTTGGATGAAGGCTGGCTTTCAGACTCCCCAAACTCTGACCCCCAGCCTGTTGCTGAACACCCTGACACAAGCAGTGAGGGTAAATCAGCATCGTTGGCTTAGCCGAGACAACTCTGACTGCGCTCAGTGCATAAGCAATTAAATGGGTTCTTTTGCCTTGCGTGCCTGTACATGCTGTAAACGCTTCAACCTCAATTGACTCTTTGGTAAATGATTTTCCTTTGTTGAAATGATGCTGATGCAGCTCCCGATTCAAATTCTTAGTTAAAATGCAATTTTTTTCTTAACATTTCCTGGCTATAGTTGGTAATTGACTCCTAATGGACTCTGTCATGGTTGAAATGATGCTAGTGCAACAACAGAAACCGCTTCTCTGCCCACCCTGGCGTGCCTATCCACTGTATTCCTGCAGACAGGCACCAGCCAACAGGCAATATTTAGGGCTGGACTCCCTCACCTTGGCATCCTCAGCATCTTTCCAGCCCCATTCTCCATCACCACACTTTTTTCATTGCCACCAGTGATGAGCTGCTTTCTTTAGAGGGAGATGTGCCAGCCATGGGTGAGCTTTACCAGATCAACACACAAGGGAATTCAATGCACAAGGTGCCCAGTGACACTACGTTCATTGGGGGGGAGCGGGGGGCAAAAAATCAATAATTAAAAAAACCCATTTAACATATATTCGGGGGGGGGGATATGGAGGGGCGGGGGGAAATAAAAAAACCAACCCACCACATTTTAAGGAGTGGGGGCCATTAGCTACACCTCATCAAGCAATAACTGTCTAGCATTCACTGCTTCTCCCCCCTCTCTGCACAGACCGTTTTGGAAGATGATGACACAAGTGCTCTCTCTTCACAAGGTGGAGGGACAGGAATTCCCAGGGACTCACTGGAAACATCTGAGATTTTGTAACAGCCCTTTCCTACTGAAGGTGCTGAATTTAGTTCAGTCCATGCTGTCCTCTATCCAGAAAGGGAAATTGAGGTAACATCAAATGTGAATTGAAACCTGTGTTCTGGGCTCCTTAGGCTTTAGCTCAGCTCAGGGAGAAAGAAGAAGCAATAGCTCCCAGAATACAGGAGTCCCGCAGCAGGGCTGCTCTGATCACAGCTGAGGATCAGAAGAGGGGCATGCACTGAGCTTGGGGAGATGCTGCTGAGACCCAGGAGTGGGAAAGGAAAAGGAAAGCTGGACTAGAAAAAGAAGGCAGGTGAAAGACCAACCCTGCACAGCAGTACCAGAATACACTTGGGAGAAGCAGGGAGACAGATGGTTCTCCCTACCATGAGGCATGAATGACTGGCACCATTTCATCCCATTTCTCAGGGAACGAAAGGAAAACAGGACCTAAACCAGCATTTTTCAAATGGGAGACAGAGAGCACACCAGAGGACTCTGACAATGGCTGCCTTAGACCATTCCACCTTCCGAGAGACCTAACTGAAAATGCACCTGCCAGAAGCCAGCCAGTAGCCACTTCCCCCTAAAAAGCCAAGATCCCACTAGGATTGCTGAAGGAAAAACATGTTACCCAGCCAGAGCACAAAGCAGGGAGGAAAAAAAAAAAAAAAAAAAAAAAAGAAAAGAGAAATCTTTACAGGTTTCTCTGTCTCCTTTTTCTGTGGCAGCTTCTTCTTAGGAGCCTTGCGCTCAGCACATCTCTGCTCAGTGGTGGTGTCAGCAGCTGTGATGAGTTTCTGCAGGTCTTGAGTTCTCTTTTCTCTCTCTTTCTTCCTGGTTTCAATTTTGCGGAGCTCCTGGATGAGGTATTCTTCTTCTGCCACCTGCAGACCAGAGCACGGAAAGGCAATCAGAGCAACAGAGGAGGCCTAGCAAGGCAAGGGGGCCATCTACCGATAACAACTCTGCCCTGTGCCAGCCTGGGGAATGCCTTTAAGCTCCCCCGCCTAATATCCTCCAGAGGACTTGGGTTTGCAGAGCACATTATCTTCCATAGCCATACCCTGCATCCAAGGCAATGCCAGTCTACAAACTGGCAGGTACTGTGTGGCAACATCCATGATGCACCCTTCAGCAGCGTCCATAAGTGCTCAATCCCTCCTCCAGACAAGGAGGCCAAGAGCACAGATAGAAGGGTAAAAAAGCCCAAATATACTACAGTTCCAAAAGCAGTGCTGTGAAAAGCTGGCTCCCCTCCCCAGACATAGTATGTAGAACTTAGAGCAGCTCTGCCAAGTATCAGCACACCTGATACGTGGGAAGGACAAGCAGAGTCATCATACATGTGAACTTGTCATCAGAGGGAACAACTAACAGAAAAGGATGCTCTCCCCCAGCCTTTGGGGAACACACAGCTCCTTAACCTCTAAACCCTGGGGCTGTTACACAGCTTCAACAAAGAGGAGAATGAAACATGCAGATTTACAGTCTTGGATGTATTCTGGCAAGATTTTTACTCTAAAGGAAGTAGTTCTCTCCTCATGGGACTCAGGGACTCATAAGGACGTTGATCTGAGAATTTGTTTCTAGTCAGAGGACTGGTACAGTAACCATCACGGAGAAGGTGTTGGCAGTTACCAGAGACCGTAACTCTGCTCACCTAGCCCTCTCTCCTGTATAGTCAGATTTCTCAGTCATTGCCCTTTTGTATCCCTTAAAGTGACATGAACTCACCAACAAAAGCAGTACTTCAGTGTTGCTCTTTTCTTGCCCAATATTTCTTCCCCTTTCCCACCCTCTGGCCTACTTCATCCACCTACTGATTCAGCTTATCATAAATCTTTTGGAGCAGTGATGCTCTGTCCCCCAGGTTACCTGCTCTGGTGTCCTATTGTACAGCCTTTCCAGTTGTTCCTTCCTTCGCCTCTCATGGCCAGCATCGAAGACTGGGATTTTTAGGTCTGTGCCCGGAGCTGCACGAATATTAGCCAGCTTGGCACAGATGTGGTAATATCGTTCCTTCAGATCCTCCACTGATCTTTTCTGTGAAACACATCAAAGGAGGACAGCATTATGAAAGAACCAAGCAAAACCTTGTGCAGTAGCCAGCTAAGGACCACTGGCTGAAGGATGGTATAAGACACAGAGCCTAGGAGGAGCCTTGCCAGTCCCAGAGGAACCACAGGGAAGTGGGAGTTTCTCAGTGAACTGCATCAATTAACTGTCATGGGTTCACAGCTACTGCTTTAAAAACACCCACCAGAGGGTCCAACATTACAGCCAAGGGTTAGAGACAATACAGCAGTGAAGCACTCCCAGATAAAAGGACGAAAGGATAGCTGTTTCAAGAGGAGAAAACCTGTGAACAGGAAACCATAAAGAAAAACAGGTCTCCTCCAAGCTGCTCCAGACAATGGCTATTCAAGCCATAACCAAGAAGGTATCAGCTGCCACAATTCACTGCCCATCATTACGCAGAGTCTGAGCTGTGTTCCCTTACTCCAGGCACTGAAGACGTTTGGGCAACCCAGCTGGGCAGACTCTTGTTATTCCACTTTCCTACAGGCTCTTCATGTGAGCCTTTCAGAGGGCAACAAAAACCTCCAGCATTTGGAGCTGTTCTGTAGGAGTCACATCATTCCCTCATGTCACCAGGAGGCATGGAACCAGCAGTTACAGAAGATTTAGTATCATGACACCGGGGTTGCATCTTCAGACCTCTGATGGCCCCTGCTTCACAGCAGAGATGACAGAAGCCTGCACCAGGCCAGACCACAAGTCAGGAGCAGCACCAGGGAAAAATCCCAATCCCCAGGGCCTGTTAGCAGATCCTTCTTCCAGGATCTGCTAGATTCCTAGACTGGAATCCAGGACACCTATCCTGCTCAGCTAAACAAAATACCCAGCTGCCTGATCTTCAAGGAATAAGGAGTTGTTCTCCTGGCAGGGACAAACCTTCTAACTTTCTAATAAAACACAACATGGAAAGTCACAATTAATTTAATTACAAACAAAGCAAGCAGCAATGCCCCATGCTGGAAATTCAATATTCCTTGCTGCCAATAATTCATTATTTTCCCCTAATTAAGTTGATATAAAGGGTAATTTGGTCTTTGCAGTGCAGCAAGTCCTGCACGTGCCATAGCAGCAGGTTGCCAGCAGCACCTTGGCCCCCGGGACTCACCTTGAACTGCTGGTGATCGTAGCGGTCATGAATCACCACAAAGCGCAGATCAAAACGCCGAGCCAGGTCAAAGAGGTGGTCTGTCTCAGCTTTGGTCCATGCATCATCATGGAGATACATCTGGTACTCCTGCTCCGAGTAGACAGGTACCTGCACTGTCTACACAGGGAGAAGAAAAACATGGCAGCTCTCTCGCAGCACACCGAGATACGTGAGCCATGAACAAGAGCAGCATACTGACAGGAGGGGGCTGCCAGGACCCCGAGCAATCAGTCCTGGTAGGAAACATGACGAGCAGGCAGGGGACTTGATGAAGAGCAATGTGTGATCTTGGGGACACAGACATGACGTTCTGGGGAACCTACCAGGAATCACTGCCTGGAAAGCTGAAACATATTTCAGGTGGCTGACACAGGCAGAGGTCAGCAACCCACATCCTGACAATAGGTTTCAAAATTATCAGGCTAACATGACAATGAAACCAAGGTTCAGTCAGCCTCCCTGCATTCCTCCCACATAGCAGAACCAATACGTTGACATAAACTGCTCTGACAGTCAACTCGTTACTTGGGTTGGGACGTGCTCACTTGTACGGGAAGAACAGGAAAGGCAAGGAGCAGTGTTTCCTAGACTTTAGCACACCTCCTGCTTTGATACACAACGCACTTCTTTCATGTTTGGTGCAGACAGCACTGTGAAGATCTGAAAGGCTGGGTGCTGTACAATTGAGGGCCATAAACTTGGCAGACAACTTTGTCCCTCGCTTCCTCATCCACCCCTTCTCCAGCAGAGCCACAGGGCCAAGCAACAGTCCGACTCTCACAGTGCCCCAGGTGCCTAAAAAGCCAAACCCACACCACTGTCCCCAGCCTGGAACTGCTCTGCAAGGGCTCTATCCAGAACACAAGTGTCACATGAGTACTAAAGGAACAGTAATAATACTTACTGTATTAGGGGAAGTCCTAGCGCATGGTAAAGCTAAAGTGTAAACAAGTCTGTGCTTTCTTCCCTCACCCCCTCCCACCTCTCCTGCAGCTGAACTTTGCTCAGCCTGAGGAGGTCCTGCCTCCACGCGAAAACATGGTGCCCATGTGAGCAGCGCACATGCTTCAACACCTCTATGCCCTCCCAAGTCCTACACCAGAAAAGTCATCCTCATGAACTCCATACAGACCAACAGAGCATTTCTGAGCCTCCAAATCACAGCCTCTTTAGATCTACTGACTTTCATCCATCACTTAGATACGGAAGCATAAAGGTGAAACAGATCTCCTGGGGACGTACTGTACCCCAACCTTCAAGTACCACTTCCACCAGGAGAAGCAGCATCCTATTAGATACCATAAGGATGCCCTACGTACATCATGAAAAAGAACAGAAATTTCTAGAGTAGCATACACACATGAAATGAGCCAGGAAGGCTCTCTCCAGTGGGTGGAAGGGAAGGTGGCAGATGCTAGGTCAGAGAATAGAATGGGACAAGAGACAAAAGCAGTGCCCAAAACACTTCCTCAGCTGCTTTCATGGCTGCGCAGGTGAGAACTGCTGAGAACTAAGAAGGTGAGAACTCATCAGATGGGAAGCTTGAGCCAACCACGGGATAACTATAGGTTCAAATGCAATGCAGCCATGAAAATGCAAATATGACCCCCAGCAAGGGATTTCCAGCAGAAACTGGCAGGTTTCGGTTGCACCACAAGACCTTGCCGGGGATGCCAGCTATAACTCTACTGACCCATGTTGAAGAAAGATGAACTGAAATGGGAAGACGTACAGAGAAGAGCAATGAGGATGAGTAATGGGGTGGGGAGCTTGTCTTCCCACAGCAGATTGGAAAAGAAAGGAGCCTAGCGAAGGAAGTCTGAAAGGGAATCTGACTGCAAGCTTCAAGTATGCTAGATGGAATGAGAGGAATACCCACAGGAAGAAAAGAACAACTGAAATAAGGACAAAGAAATTGGCTTGCAAATAAATGCCAATTTAACATGGAAAATTTAACCTGGAAATAAGAAATGGAGCAGAGATGGTCTGGAACAGCTTCCCAAGGAAGCACAGGGGCAGGAAAATCCAAGTGCTTTTCAAAAGGAACTTGATCAGTTTATGAAAGGGACTGGATGGTGCAGGACCTGAGAAAGCCAAGAAGAGGTTTCAGTGGCCCAGAAAACCCCTTTCAGTCCTACATTTCAGACTACAAACTCACACAACGATGGACATTAAATTAGCTGAAACTGCTCAGGAAAGATCCTGGGAGCCATGAGACAGTTCTGTGAAAACATCATCACAATGCCCAGCAGTGGTGAAAAGACAAACTGAAGATTAAAAATTATCGGGGGGTGGGGGGGGAAAGAGAGACAAAGAAACACAACCGATGTACAAACCTGCCATGTTTCCATAAGTAAAACATGAACCCCTAGTCCACCCATGTCAAAAGAAAGGGTATTTGAGGACAAGGGTGACACAGGGCACAGAAGGGCAGATGTGTGTCAAATTATGGAAAACACAGTACATAGCAAGGACAATTTACTACATCACAAAACACAAGATCTCAGGAACACCAAATGAAACGCCAAGGCAGCAGCTTAAAATGAACAGAAGAAAGGACCTTTGCATACCACACAAAATTAACCTGCAGAACTCATATCCATGGGATATTCACAAAGCAGCTTTCTGCCCTGAACATACCTAGCAAGAATTATTAAACACAAATTCCAAGTTAAGAAATCCTTAAGCCAAAGACCACCAAAAGCTAGGAAGAAATTACCTGTATTTGCCCCATTCTCATGCTCTTTCTCTAAGCCTTTACTAATGGTAGCCAGAAACAGAATATCAGCTGAGACAGGCTTTTACTCTGACACCAGTGAAGCTGCTTTTATATTCCTATTTCACACCCTAGATCAAAGCTCGGCGTACACTGTGAAACCTAAGTTTACATTTTGGATTTACAAAGAGGAGGGATTTGGGTGGGAGACTGGGACCAGAGAGAAAAGGCAAAGCAACTGGGCAGTGACGCGGGAGCCAGGTTAAAGAGCTTGAGTGACCAGTGGGACAAACTACACAGGAAATGGGTTCGTGCCAAGGGGGGTAAGAGACTGGGACAGAGGTATCAAGTACATGAGAAGGAAGCCACAAGAGTCTGGAAAAATAAACAAAATTCCTCTGACATAGCAAATACCAGTAAAACTCCCCACCAGTGCCTTCTACTCTGTCAACCACGGATCCACAAGGGTAACAACTTGCTCCTAACATAACGTAATTGTGCACGTGCAGATGGCAGAGGTCTGTACCACTAATCTAAAGGTTGCAGCAGCCTTGCTGAAGGCTCTTCTGTCTGTCAATTCACAGTACACGATAAAGTTAAGGAAACAAGAATCGTATAATTACAACACCCATGTGTGGTCCCCTCTGATAAACTCAGTTGAACTCAGTCAAAAACTGTTACAGCAGCAGTGTCTTATAGACAATTACACTCCCAAAGTTTCACTCAGACAGCTAGGTAGGTGCCTTGACTAAGTGAGTCATGCTTCAGACTTCCACCCTAGACATCAGAGAAGAGATACCACAGGAGGCTCTTACCAATGTCCCAGCAAGAGGAAAAGCATCAGTCAGAGCTTGAGCCTTCTAACATATAAGGTCAACCAACCACTTAACTCTGCAGGAAGCCGGGCTTTGTTAGAGCTGATGCTCTGTGGGTTACAAACTTAAAATGCTGTATACAGTTATACGCAAGCAGAGCTTTTGTGGAATCATGTTATCACACTTTTCCCTCCCCCCTTCAGATTTGCATCATGAAGGGGGTTAAATTACATTATGGAGGCACCCTAACACTGCTCCTTCCTAACTTTGGAGATCCTGACTTTGAAATATAAATCTTGATGTAGTTTTCTTTGTGCATGCACATGAAAGCCCCAACCACTCAAAGCAGATACATCTGGGACAAAAGACAGCAGGAGATTACAACAACACATTGTGACAATTTAATGTAAGACGTAAAGAACAGGGTACTGCACCACACTGATACCACAGGAGCAATTTAGGAACGCAACGTAATTCAGCATATCTGTGCTGGAATCTGGCCAAGAGGCTGCAAGCTAGCTTTTTGGCCATGAAGCTCAAGCAAATTTTTTTCATACTGGGCAAAATAACAAGACTTTAATGTTTCACTCAGAACAGAGTATCTTTTACTACCCAGAGCCTGTAATCAGGGCAAGTATGTTGATTAGGAACTGAACTAAATAGTACAGTGCCTCCTTACCAAATCAATGACTGCACACCTGAAACACAGAGGACCCTAGCAAGCTCTGACCACATGCTGAGCCCACTTAGCTTAAAGGATTTGGAGACATCATAGTCCGAGGCCACACGGCTACAGGCCATGCTTAAATTTAAAATGCAATTGCCAAATCTAACTCAGTCTTCACATGTTGAAAGAACCAACTTCTTCTCTGGACATTCAAGAAGCTGACTGAAGGGTATTTTCCAGCTGCTGTTCATATGCTTTTGTTTGAAAGTGCTCCCACTTACTTTATTAAACCTGGCAAAAGGATAGTCCTTTCCTTCCTCTGCTGCTCTCCGCCAGTGGTAGAACATCGCTCCATCTTTTCTTGCTGGGTTGGTGAAAGGCATCCACTTCCAAGGCCGGACTTTCTTGGACCCCAGTTTTGCTTTGACTGTTCGATAACCCTGAGTTGTATCACTTGGCAGCAGCGGAGGTGCATCCCTGTGGTGAAGAAAAGCACCAGGTGATGAGAAGCAAGAAGCAGCCCCGGACAAACTCAAAGAGATTTCAGACTCAAGAGCGGGATCTGGCACCATAAGGTCTAGGGTGGGAAAACCTGAGTTTAAGCTTTATTCCAGGTTTTGCACTTCCCAGACCGCAATGCTTCCAGCATCAGAGGACAGAATGCACAGCATGGATGGGTTTGAACAAAACCATCTGGAAAGCAAACTATGCAAGAGACCTCTGGGGCGAGGGCACAACCCATAACAAGCTAAATACAGGCTGCAGCAGAACCCTTTTTGCAGAAATAAAAGCAGGTGCTATTCCCAGTTGTAAATAAAAGACAATTAGACACAGAAGGGTAAGAATGCTGCCTTGTCTGAACTAGACTGTTGTGCCTGTACCAAATTCATCTCCTACACAGAGAAAACCCCTCAAATTTAGAAGACAGACACTGCCTGTGACTGTCTAAGAGAGAATGGCACAAGCATGGGCCAAGCACTGGGGGGAATCAATCTGGGAAGTCAGACTGCCTGTGGTTTCAAGAGGATGCTGCCCTGCCACCAAAAGCCCAGGCTACCCCCACAACCTGCACAGATGACCATAAGCCCTTACTTTTTATCAGAGTAGAGGAGTGCATAAACTTCTCGGTGCATTCCTTCCGGCCTCTTAAATGTCAAAGTCTCTGAAGATTTCTTGGATTTTTTCTGAAACAAAAGAATTGCATTTTAGATTCAGAAGCAGCAATCCCCAAGGGAACATTAAACTACATAACCTGGCACCCTGTGATGGTTTTCACTTTTATCTCTTTTTACATACCCTGAATTTCTCCAGGAAACTGCCTGTTCCTGGTGGAAGACACTGACAGACAAAAAGCACCACTATCAGTGATAGCACTCACCAGTACTCAGACACTTGCTGTTGCTGATAACACACACTTAAATTCCAAGTTGAACATCTGTAGCCATCTGAACTCAGTGTTCAGGGGCTGGTGCACTAAGCCTTTTTTTTACTAGGTAAGCACTGTCCTCATGTGAAGGTATTAATGGAATTAATTAAGCGATTCTCTAACTTTTACAGAAGATAATAAGAAATGTCTTCCCACCCTCTCTTAGATTTTGTAACTTTGTTCTGCAGCAACTTCAGTTTTTGCCAGTTGTGATCAAGCCCTTGCGGTAGCCCCATGTCAAAGCTACCTGTAGCACCTACAAAAGTAAACCCCCATTCCCACCTCCGCTCTCCCATTTATACAGGAATTTTTTTTTTTTTTTACATAGTTTCTTCATACTAGGAATTCAGTGTAGACGATTCAATCTGGCCCCTAAAACCTTGTCAGAACTGATGGTTTCTGAGACATGTTTCATCTCCTATCACATGTACAAATTTATAAAGTAATCAGCCTTGGATTCAGGTAGATACAGGAACAGCCACCTTAACAAGGTACACTTTATTTAAGTGAGCAAGTTTACTGAGTATTCCAGAGCATTTGGTCTAACTGTACTACCTTTATAACTATTAGCCATGTCACTACTTTTAAGTACTTGTTTACCATATTGCTACCGACTTTTAAATCAGAGTATTTTGTAGTAGTAAAACTAACACTGTATCACAAATTGTCTTAAATCCATATAGTCACCTTTATCAAGCAAATTCAAAATCCCATTAAAAAAATAACCACCTATCAGCTTAGACTACAACTACTTTCCATAAAACTTCATGACAGACATTCATTATATTCGCACCTTTTCACTCCCAATCAAACACCTTTCTCCCAGCGTGTCCACCACTTTGCCCAGGAGGGATGTAAGGCCAACGGAGGCAGTTACCCACGGGTCACCATACACCCTGTTTGAACACAGACTTCTGGAATTCCCCCAAAGTTCCCAGATTTATTAAAAATTAATATCAGCAGGTCAGAGATCAGCTCAGCCAGCTCTTTTAGGAGTTGAGAACAAATTAGTTGGTCCTGCTGATTTAAATGCCTAGTAATTTTTATTTTAACATTCTCAGTCACTAATGGACTGGAAAGTACTTCACAGTTCTCTTGTGATTTAAAGACATCAATCTGTTTCTTTTCTAATTGAGAACAGATCTATTTCCAAGCAAGTGCTGCACTGTTATTAGCAATTTTGCTCTCTCCATGCAATAATGGCTTATACCTTTGGTTTGATTTAGTTTCTGTACTTTGTAGAAATTCAGAATGTATGTATGCATTCAGAATGCAGTGGCCTCCTGCACTCCTCCCCAGACATCTCCCCTTCCTCTCAAAGTAAATTTGTGGAGAAACCCATCTTATTCTCTGCTCCAGAAGAGAGACAGACAGCCACCAGTACTCCTTCACCTCTCTGCTAGCTAACAGACAAATGCCTCTAAAATCAAAGAGCTTGCAACTCCACTCAGTGGCACAACATCACAGGCTGAATCCAGCCAATGAGCTGCCACCAACACAGCTGATAACTGGTGATTTTAACATTTCAGCCTTTAAATTACTGAAACTCATCAGTTTTCCACTACACCAGTTATACTACGTGTCCTATTCCCAGCAAGGCAGTCATGAAACCACTGTGCTTCTCTTCAGAGACAAACGCTTCAGTGGAGGCAAGCAAAGACATTCAGAAAGTACTTTCAGGGATGGGGTGGTTGTGTGTGTTCGGTTTGGTTTGGGTTTTCTTAAAAAAAAATACACAGGGTTTACTTCAAATCAGACCATTTCTTTACCAGAGAGCTCCTGGGGATTTCATCTCCCCCAGCTCATTTCCAAGCACCTCCACATCTCGTAACTAGTTGTGAACTGACCTTCCCAACACCATGCAAACCATGGGACAGCCAAGACCTTGCCGGAATTTAAAATACAGAAGGCAGCAACACACCATAGCTTATGACCGCACAGAACGCAGCACATGATGGCACACATCCTTAAAAGAGCTTACTAACTTGCCCACATTCCCACAGGCAACACATCCCAGTTCTCCCAAACCCCAGCCCACAGGCAACACACCCCAGTTCTCCCAAACCCCAGACACACATCTTCCCTGCATAGGGACTGCTCCCATGGTTTGAAGACATTTACTGTTCAATCAAGACAAACAATTTTTTTTTTTTCTTCTAAAACAAGACTGTATTACATTATTTCCACCTGCTTGTGGGTTAGATGGTAACCGCACTTCACTCTTACTCCACAAAACAGGGATTTTAGAGACAGCTGAAAACGTCCTGGGGCCAGGCCCAGCTCTCCAGGACGCCACTTACACAGCTCCGGCTTAAATACCGTCCCAAATGCCACAACACGGTTAGCTAAGAACACCAGGAACCCAGGAGTGGGGCCCTCCAGGCATTTCCAGATACTTCTAGGAAGCCTGAAAATAAACAGACTATGGCAGGAACATGCTTTATTCCACCTTTTTTTCCAGCATTCACCCCAGACGCCACACGCAAGGTCAGTCAGCGCCTAGAAAACAAGCAGCGGCCCCTCAGGGCGTCGCGGTTCACCTTATCCGAGTTGATGATATCCTTTTTGTTGATGGTGCCCGTGTTCTCCGACTCCACGCCGCCCAGCTCCAGGATGTCCC